GACGTAGTACGTACGTACGTAGAGTACGTAGTAGGTAGGTAGTAGGTAGGTAGGTAGGTAGGTAGGAGGTAGGTAGGTAGTAGGAGTAGTAGTAGTAGAGAGAGAGAGAGAGAGAGAGAGAGAGAGAGAGAGAGAGAGAGAGAGGTCTTCACTTGAATCAATCAACTAAAGATAAATGTGTTCAAGTGATGTGCTCGTCTTTGGAACTCACAAATGGTTCTATAGCAAACTTTTAAAACCTAAGCTACCAGCTTAAATGAAAAACTTTCAGAGATTTAGGGGGCTTTTAGAATTATTGATTTTAAAATGCAGAATACCAGAGCCAGGCTTTTCCCCTCTTCTGCAGTAATTTGGATGCAGTCCAACTTTTGTAATTTTTGCGTACACGAGGCCTTCATTGTCACCAGCCCATATTTTTTGCTTGGTGGGCTACTTTGAATTGATGTATAGTGCACCCATTTTGGGGTGAATTTTGTATTTAAATTCATGTAAATTCAATACAAGTTAACTTTCTCAAAAAAAAAAGGCGGCGGCAGAATATCAAAGCCATTTGCAGGATACTAAAACATTGTGGAATGTCATTTCAAGTGATAATGTCAAGACCGTGCCTGAATTGTCAACATCATCAGGGATACAACCATATGTCCTGGAACACTGTTTTAAGGCTCAGACTCAAATCTGGAACTTGACAGGGCTCAATCAGAGTCAGCGAGTCAGACTCGCCCATGTTTTCAAGAAACAACTATAGAAAACCGTAGGAACCAGTGAGACTCAGCCAGTTTCCAAGGTTTCTTACTCACGCTGACCACCATGCCTGGTCTGAATATCTCGACTGAGTCCGAGTCAGGCTCAGCGAGTTTTAAAACACTGCTTCTAAAGATGGACTCTTAAACAAGTAACTCCCTCCTCCCAAATAATGTCCTGTTTTGGTGTATAATTTTGTGCAAACTGCCCTTAGTAGTAACATTCTATTGGGGACAAAGCCATGTAACCTGCTATTTCTTTAGTACATTATAGACAATCTGACACCAGAAAACAAAACACCTCCCTCCCTGCAGGTGTGCAAAGGCTGTACATATGTGCATGTACAGTATAGTAACTCAGTCAAAATGCCAACTTATTCTATCTGATCACTAGCTAAATTTGGGAAAACAACAAATACATGCAACTCCTATTCCATATCACCATAACCAAAATTTTGCAGATCATCACCAAAGAATAATGTGAAGTCCATTAAAGTAAAGGTATATCAAGAGGACATACTCTGTAGTCAATCGCTTTGCCAGAAAGACCTTCATTGCAGCACCAAAATCGAGTCTAGAGAGTGCCTTCCATTCAGGATACTCAGTCGAAGGCTTGTCTGCAGGTGCACAAACACTTCCGATGATAAGAAGACCGACAAGTGGCATAGGTAACACTCGAGAAGCCCACAAAAGCTTTGATCTCCAAGGCCCAAGCTCTTCTGGTACAGTGGCAGGTTGCACGATTGCTTTTGTGGACCGTATAGTCATGTCTCTTGCGAATGTGAAGAAGCTCTCACCTCTTTCGAGCTGGAAAAAAAACAATAGTTATTTGGGGCAAAAGTCAGAGTGAATTTTGTAAAACTTCGCTGTAGATTGTATAGGAGAAAGTGAAACATCAAGGGAACTTTTGTCAATGACCTAGGACTAGTCAAATTTTGGCATTAAAATTCACAAGTTTCAATCCTGGATCTTGGACAACTGTTTCTTGTAAGTGACTTTGGAGAAGATTTTGGCTTTTGGATACTTTAATGGTCATCCTGCTTTTTCTTTTGCCTAAGAAAGTTCAAAATAAGACATTCTCAACCAATCTTTTTTCCCTTGATTTCAAATTTTGGATTTCCCCGACAAGTAGTTGCTCCTTGAGGCACTGCAAAGTCCAGATAGCTCAATTCAGGAAGATGCGGTCCGAGAATCTTGCTTGACCAGCTGGTCAGGATAACTGGTATAATTCCTGGATAAAAAGGCCCAGCATTGCTGGATTATCATGATACCAGATATGAGCAGTCGCACTTTTCACAAAGTGGGCTAACTGAAATTCAACCAAAGCTCGCCATTATTTTCAACCATGAACCATACATGCACAGAACCCACCAACAATATTACTCCCCAAGAATAACTAGGAAAACAAAAGAAAAAATTCCAGCATAGAATGCATTGATCTACTTCCATGACTGCTCGTGAATTCTGATGGATGATGAATCATGGTCACCACTTCATTATTTCTGAAAATACTAGTCATTGCTTAAAAACTTGGTGATTTTACAGATCATCTAAAGAGAAAGGTACAGAAAGTCTACTAAAATTCAATAGACTATGGAAACCCCACATTCCATTAAGGGATATAGACTGGGACCCACCAATGTCATGGTCTGCTGATCCCAAAGGTCCATGGTTTTTCCAAGTACATCAGATTGTATTTCACTTTCTCAAAATGATTATATAAGCTCATAAAAACCTATATATAGGTTAGTAAATATCAAAAAAGTAAAAAGAAAAACGAAACAAGAAAGCGTATATGTTAGTACCTGAAGTAACTTGAAGGTCTCAAAGTCAAGGTCTGCGTGGTACCATTTGTCACCCTGGTAATCAAGGCAGTCTAGCTGGAAATCTAAAGCAAGAGCTCTAGCCATTTGCCTTTGAATACATCCAAGAATGTTGAAGCCTCGAGAGCGAGAACCTTTAAGCTTCGTGCTGGATTTTAGGTCCCTAGCATTTCTTCTGGACTCTAGATTCTCCCTGCTTGCCACCATCTCATAGAGGACCCGGTCGTAGGTCTCAAGCTCCTTCTGGAGTGTTGCAAAATACCTGCAAGTCAAAAAGTGTCATCACCATCCAGATATGGCAAGTTCAAAGCAACGTGATGAAAGTGGGCGAAATAAAGGCTACAAAAGGAGAATCCTGGCAATGGATAGATATCTGATAATGTCAACTATCTTTGATTTTATGGGAGATATTATCTAAGTACCAACAAGCCAGTAGTATATTAAATATAATCACCTTTGACCAGGTCATTTAAGCTAAGTTTTACATTGCGAGTTAGTCACTTAAACCTGCTTCCACATATAAATTGTGATATCACAGGAAATTCAATGCCAAGGTACATTCCATCTCGTCCAACAAATGGAGGGAGTTCAAACCCTCCAGCTCTGTCAGAATCTACAGAGTCCCCTACAGAACAAGACCTGAATACCATTGATAATTGCAGAATTCAACAAACTACGCCATGCATGGAAATCTGATCTCTGCCATCCAAATAGGCGCATTCATTTGTAAAATCTTGCTTGTAAGGCAATACTGCAGATGGAAGCAATCATCTGCCCCAATAACTTATATCCTTGGACCCATTCCATAATAACTGGCATATCTATGTCATTTTATTCTAAAGCATAATAGGAGAAGAAATATGTAAGTTTAACATTACTAGATCAGATATAGCACTTTCAATGTGGTTTTTTAGTCCATTTCAAAGAATGATTCCAACAATAAGCTAAAAAGCTCTAATGCAAAGTCTGGAGCGATGAAATGGTCTCGTCAAATGAAGGCAGCGATCATGTCACAGCTGCTTTTAGAAACACCAAAATAACAAATCTATTAACCCAATGCATTTCAAATGTTTCATGAGCAGCAATGAGGATTTCTTGTTGATTAATTGCTAACTTGCATGGCTCGGGAGGCATAAAATCCAATAACATCATGTTCTTTTCAATTAAGAAGTTCACCCCATCAATGAGGCTAAAAAGTTCTAGTTCATAGATAGATAGATAGATAGATAGATAGAGAGAGAGAGAGATAGAGGCAAGGTTAAAAAGTTTGAATGAATCCCATAATTTTATTGCCACAGATTGGATTTATATGGTTTAGGTTTTCACGTGCAAACCCCACAATTAGACTGACCATGAGGATAAAAACAATAAACAAATAAATAATAGGTTCAATGTTAAATAATAGGCTCAATGTTTAACTTTAGAAACCAGACTTATGTTTATCCATTATCAATTATGGTAATGGTCTCAACAGGCAATACTCTAGAGAGAGTTTTTCATTTTTTTTTCCCTTGATTGGTACTATAGAGACAAAGGAATTGCAGAATTCTCCATAGGATCACCATATTCAGGAGGGAAAACTTCAATTTTAGTGGTTCTACACTTATGTCAACAAAGTGAATTGCTACACACACAGAGGCCAAATATTTAAATAAAATAAATAAATTTTAGTGAGATAAATAAATATGTAGAGATGCAAAGGCCAACTATCCATCTAAAATGAAACAATTCTACTGAAAAAGGTTGGAAAGAGAATACTCTTTGTCTGCAATATGGATGGTAGACACCAAATCGACCTGTAGATACAGTAAAGAATAAACAGATGCCTCATCACTCAACAAAACAGGAGCAAAACCAATAGTAAAAGCAACAAGTTACTTTGGGTTGGGGGGGGGGAAGATAGAGAGAGAGGAATACAAAGACAATGCGTCAACCAAGCAAACAAACCTGAAGAAAAGGTTGGAGCAAAGACCACGGGAACCTCTTCTTGTAGCTGACTATCGCAGTCTGCAATTTACCATCATGATCCTCCCCATTTCCCTGAAACCTCATGAAATCAGCAATCGCATTGTTTTCAAGAAACTGTTCAATGTTTCCATCTCCCCCCTCTGTTTCCACGCCTTTCCAGAAAGCCATACGCTTCGTAGCTTTGCAAGAATAGCCAACTCTGAGCTTTCCAGGGTTTCGCAACCATACATGTCCAGACGTAACCCTAGAAGAAGAAGAGGAAGAACTGAACCTGACAATTTCTTTGGGGTTGTAGCAGGAAGGAGAAAAGATTTTTAAAGGTGCAAAAGTCATTTCTACAAAAAAAAAAATGGCGGTGAATTCAATTGGGGTTGGAGAGAGAGATCTCTATTAAGTTGCAGAGATAGAGAGAGAGAATTCAATTGAATAGCAGAGATAACAATCTCTTAAAGATGCAAAGACAGATAATTCAATTGAATTGCAGAGAGACGATAGGGAACAAAAACAAGAAACGAGAGAGTGGGAAAGAGAGGTCGAAGAATATTAATGTCATTTAAAAAAAATGAAAAATCTAAATTAAATAGATAAATTTATGAAAATTCAAGGAAAATGGTTTGATAGGGCTCCAACCATATTAAAATGAGTAAATCCTCACTTTATAAGTCTATCAAAAATTGAAATTCAAGTATTAGAAAGCCTTTCCATCGATCATGGTGGCCTTAACATTATGGTTGTGAAAAAAAAAAAAAAGCACTAAAGATATAATTTTTATAACAAATTATCTAAACCATTCATTTCCTCTTAAAAATAAAAATAATTTTTATAACAAATTATCTAAACCATTCATTTCCTCTTAAAAATAAATATTTATAGATATATAGATTCTATATTTTGTGTATTTGTTGCTATATTTCTACGAATATGGACACAATTGAAACCCAATTGGAACTTGAAGTTTCAAATTAATTTTTTCTTTGTAAAAAATTGTAGGGTCAAAAGACTAAAACTTCAAAACTCTTAGGTGGCGTAAAATACTAACACCATGCTTAAAAGAGAAGGAGTATAGTGCATTTGATCTCCGTAATAAATGAATTGTTTACATTGAAAAATTATCCATTTTTTAGTAACATAGAGCACAAAATTTCAAAAAAAAAAATTTATATAAGGTTGCAATCTTAAGATGTAGAATTACAAATGCACCTCAAAAATTCATCGGAAAATGTTGTTTTAATGTTGAAAAACCCTTTAATTGATCATCTATATGCAAATAACAAAGATTTTGAGTCAAAAAAATAGTGTATCTTGCAACACATTATCTAGACCATCAATTTTAAAGATTTTTATATGTTTATAGATCTACTTGATTTTAACCATTTTTTGGAGTTTAAAAATTTATAATGATATATGAAAATAGATTTTGAGATGATCCTAATAATTTTTTATACCAAAATTACATGATAAAATTTGGAGTTGCACTTCAATTGGATTGTTTAAGGTTGCAACCTTATATAAACCACAACCTTTATATAAAGTTGCAACATTATACTATAAAATAAGGTGCGCGATTGTCAACAAATAGCTCATTTATCTTTTGTAAATAGAGGTCACAATCATTATTATCCTTTAAATTTTAAAATGGGTGGTTGTAAGAGTGTCTAAAAAAAATCTCCAACTTCATAAATCATCCCTAGCCATCCAATTTGATATCTAATAACTGGAAATCATAGTGATCTTTACATACAAAATATAAATGGTATTTTTTGTAACCTTAAAATTCTTTTAGAAAAGAGTCCTCCCAATGTTAGAAAACATTCAAATCGATTCATAAGGTTTCAACCTTGTATATAAAGAGAATATAAATTGTAGTTTATCTTGCGGACCGGGCCGGGCCCAGTCAGCTGGCCCATTAAAAGGCATCCCTATAGACTTCCTAGGGTTTCAGATTCATGCATACAGATAAAAGCGCCCCTTTCCCTCTCCATTTGAGCTTAGAGCAGCGTATCAGAGGCAAGCAATCTGAGCGCTCAAGATGGGTAACCTCTCTCTCTCAATCGAACTGTTGAACTATCTGTATCTCTTGGATTCCCCATCTTCTTCTTCTTCTTCCCCCCTCGCTATTGTACTTTTTCTTTCTCTATTGAACTGTAACTCTCCCTATTGTTTCGTTCTTCGTCTTCATTTCTCTCTATTGAACTCTCTATCGATGTGTTGAGTAATGGGATGCTGTTGTTATGGTGCAGGTATCTCTCGTGATTCTATGCACAAGAGGCGTGCCACAGGAGGGAAGAAGAAGGCCTGGAGGAAGAAGAGAAAGTAAGTGTTTCCATTGATCTATTTTCAATGCTTGTTTGGTAATTTATTTGTTTCTGGATTATTATTATTTTTTCACATATGAATCTTAGTAGAGCAGGCCATGTCAATTCCTCAATTCATGCGTTTGATTACTGTCTTCTTCACGCACCTATAGATCTCTTCATTCACTCTCTCATGTTCAATTCCTTTTTTCAATCCAACTTCTTTATTTTGTATCTTAGTTTTTTTTTTAAAAATAAGTGTATAGTTATGTTTTCTTTTCCGGAATTTCAAGGTATATTTTGTTGGTTTTATTCTTTTTGAATTCAGTGATAAGCACCAACTTTTGGTAGATCACATCACTCTATGGACTCTTGTCAGTGTAATTTATTGAGTAAAAGAGGCATTTGGTGGACCGCATAGTTTTATGAACTTATGCTGCAAATTTACTCTTTTTTTTTTTTGCATACCATCCGTTCTGGTTCATATAAATCACCACTTGCCAGGCGCTTTTCTATGTTGAACTCTCCCTCTCCTCTCTCTCCCTCCCCCTTCCGGCACTTCTCACTCTCTATCTCTTCACACTCACCCATAGACTCAGAGGTGGTCTTAATCTTTTATATGCGTCATACTCTGATTGTTAGCCCATATGTACTCATTATCTACCAGACCCATATTACGCTTCTCCTTTTTTTGGCGCAATTGGAATGCTCATGTCAAGAGCATTCACCTTTTTATATACATATTCGAGTACATTAATAATTTTTTATCAGCACAGTTAAGATTTTTTTGTAAAGTGGCTTATTTGTATGTTTGTTCTTGCTGGATTTTTAAAGGTATGAATTGGGGCGGCAGCCTGCAAACACAAAGCTGTCCAGCAACAAGACAGTGAGAAGAGTACGCGTTAGAGGAGGCAATGTAAAGTGGAGGGCCCTCAGGTTGGATACCGGTAATTACTCGTGGGGAAGCGAGGCTGTTACTCGCAAGACTCGTATTCTTGATGTGGTTTACAATGCTTCAAACAACGAACTTGTGAGGACTCAAACTTTGGTGAAGAGTGCTATTGTGCAAGTGGATGCTGCCCCTTTTCGCCAGTGGTACCTCCAGCATTATGGTATTGATATTGGGAGGAAGAAGAAGACGGGAGCTGCAAAGAAGGAAGGAGAGGTACAAATTTGTGATTCCGTATCTCATTGTATTGTTGGTTTTAATTTGAATCCTATATGGTATGATAAATTGCCAAATGGGTCTGGTTCTTATGAATAACTATTTTGGAATTTTTAGGTTCCAAGGTTGTCATCTTCTTTTATTTTTTATCTATTCAGTTTATTTATTTTTGGTCACTATCGAATCCTTTGAAATTTTGGGACCAATATTTGAAATTAAAAATTACATCGTTCAAGGTTTCAAAAAACGCTAGGCGGCTTGCCTGGCGCCCAGCGCATAGGGGCGCCCAAAACCTCGGGCACCCTGTTGGTGCAAATTCTTAGCAATTTTTTATATATTTGCTATCCAAATGCACACATATGCATTTATTTGTGTCAAATTTTGTAATTTATTCAATTTGCAAATATCACAAGTTCGTAACATACGTTTTTATATACAAACATATCACATATCTCAGGTTCAGAATAAACTTATTCAAAATTTCAAACTTTACAAAACATCTAAAAGTCTAATAGGCTATTGTAAGAAAACATTTCAATGAGAAAAGAAAACGTTTTCAATCCACAAAAAATACTTTCGATTCTCAGAAATTACTGCTTTAGATTCTCATGAATAAGTTTAGAGATTGAGGGTTTCTTTTCTTTCTCACTTTGTTTATTAAAAAATAAACCCCATAATCTTTCTTTTCTCACTTTTTTTATTCAAAAATAAACCCCATAACATGGGCCTTTGCCCTTTTGGGTGTAGGGCCGCTTGGGTTGAGGTGTTCGGTTTTTTTGTTCAAGCCACCTAGGGGCTGGGCGGACCGTTTTTTAAAACAGTTTTTTAAAACATTGATATCGTTTTGATCTTCGAGAAATGTAACTTTGTCAGTGAAAAGGAAGTTTTTGGTGGTTGTATGGGCTCCATATACTATACATAAAGTATTTACATTTATGGCATTAATTCACATATACATATATCATATGTATAGATAGATCTATATGATTACAGTAGCCTAATGTGTGATATACAATATCTGTGAAGGACATTTTCTCATGCTTTTCCGTGATTTGTGTATGCGTTGTGTTCCCTGTACATACGTAAAAAATAAAATTTGATGTGGGTTTTATGTGTTACATTTTTTACTTCATTTGATTGTCCTTCTCTCTCTTTTGAAAGCGTATTTTACGAGTATTGTGTCTTTGTCAGACAGAATGTATTGCACCCAAGTCTAGGTTGTGCCTTTAAAAAACTTTTGCTGGAATTTATTTGATAGAGAATGTATTGAATTGAAATATTTTTTGTGAAAATTGTCATTGTGATTTGTGAAAAGTAAGGTTTACTTAAACAGAGTGCACGACAGCGGCACCGTCTTTCTTCTTGTATATCTGACCAGCTTAATGTAGGTTCTCCCCAATTTTGTATACGGTCTACTTCTCTGAGCACCTGAGCTGTGCGATGCCTTATGTTGCATACCTTCATCATTAGTGGTGTTTTCATAATTGATATGTCCTGTTAATACAAGTTAACTTTTCTGAATAAAAAAAAGAGAAGAAGGCGCACCAGCACAATTACAGTAATATTCCCTTGTTTACAAGCATTGGGATGAATCCCAGTATCTTATCATTTTATTAATGAATTTACAATACAAAACAAGCAAACTAGTTGGCTTATATGGTGACCGTATTTCTACATATTTTTTCCATGTTTCAACAGTCCTCTTAATGAGCCGAAGCACCTTGGTATCCCATCTCAGCACATTTTATTTCATGGGTCACCCTTAGCGATAACCAGTGTAACAGTGTTACATGGAGACTTTATATATTTCATTTTGTTGCGTGTTGACATGTATAGACATGGTTCTGACAAGTTGTCTGTATGTGTCAGATCATTTTATCGATTCTTCAGAGAATATCGACGCTTCTATAGCGTCGTTAATTTTCTATCCGTTAGATGGTCTAGGGGCACATGGTAGTGCGAGTGTTTTCAACCCAAAAGGTCTCAAGATTGAATACGTGTGAGGGAATTTTTTTTAATGAGATTTAGCATTTTTTGAACTTTGTAGGATTTATATTTTCAAGAATGAATTGCAGTGGCAGGTTTGGAACATGAGAAGTGGTGACATGCCCGAGTGTTTTCAACCCAAAAGGTCTCAACATTGAATACGTGTGAGGGAATTTTTTTTTAATGAGATTTAGCATTTTTTGAACTTTGTAGGATTTATATTTTCAAGAATGAATGGCAGTGGCAGGTTTGGAACATGAGAAGTGGTGACATGCCATACTACTTGCTATTGCTACGCATGTCATTCAAATGCCCATTAACACTGGCAATAACAGCTCCTGATAGTGACCAGAGCACCAATCCTGTTTGGAATAGATTAGCTATGGAATTAGGAAATATAGGAGATGGAATTTGGTATGATGAAACTTTTTCTTGGAGTTCCAAGTAAGCCTTTTCTTTTCTGATCATTCATTCTCATGAAGTGGATTGTTAAATTGAATGACTGCTATTATGCATTTAAATCATTATGCTATCGAGAATGTTTGCATCCAAACTTGATAGTGACAAACTTTCAAACTTCTACATCATTTTTTTCTGGGTAGATTTGAGATGCCAGTTTTGACTATATTGTTACCTCTCACTGAGTTTAATTATGTTAAGAAATGCATCATGTCAATAGTGGTAAAAATATCAGTTTGTTTTAACTAGGTTTTTGTCCCTAGTTATGACTGTAATGGGTGTTATACCCAAATTGCAACAATAGGGTATTGATCATGGAATTTGGCCAAAATCACCCTCTGTTTTGTTCCAAATCTCTGCTAAAATAGACTAAATTTGAAACTGAAAGTTTCCATAATACGTTTTTTATGATGGCTTGAATTAATTTTGTATTTTAAATTCTATCTAAAATCTAGCTTGCGAATTTTAATTTTAAATCTATGTTTTTGGGGCTTTACAGGAGGGTGAAGCTGCAATTGAAGAAGTCAATAAGAGCAAACATGTTCTTAGGAAGCTAGAGAAACGTCAGGAGGGACACAAACTTGATCCCCACATTGAGGAGCAGTTTGGAGGTGGTCGATTGCTTGCTTGCATCTCTTCCCGCCCTGGGCAATGTGGACGAGCTGATGGGTATGCACGAACTCTTATTGCCCTAAAACCTGTCATGTTATTCAATTGTTTCTCCTTTTCTTCATAACCATTTGATAATGTTACTGCTTTCTAGAAGTATTCTTAGGACCTCCTCAACCTGGTCTGTGGCCACCGACCTTAATCCCATCCACGCTATATCAGCCTGAAAAAGAAGTGATGTCCTAAGACTGAACAGCCACTATGCAATATTTTGATGGTCAGATCTAGGTGTTGAGGAACTCAAGATCCTTTTTTTCTTTTTAGTTTTGAAAAACTATTCTTTGGTGATTGTAAAGTGGGTCTAAAGATTTCAGATGGAGTAAATCCTCCTAAAAGTGGGTCTAAAGATTTCAGATGGAGTAGATCCTCCTAAATCGGTCTCTTCCCGGGGGGTGAATAGGTAAATGGTGCGGTCCATGCTACAATCATCATTAAAGCTTTGTCCCAACTAATTGGAGTCGGCGACATGCCACACATCTTTGATTTTTATCAAACTTAAGGTGCTCGATGCTCTACACGAGTACCCTAATTTTTATCAAACTTGGGGTGCTCCTTATTAATTCATTTCCATGCATGTGACAGATACATTCTAGAGGGAAAGGAGCTTGAGTTTTACATGAAGAAGATTCAGAGGAAGAAGGGTAAGGGTGCTTCTGCTTGAACTTGCAAATTATTTGCACGTTTTTGTGGTTTTACACCCTTGTGGTTTTCAAGAGATTTAATTGGGAATGCATTTTTGGGGATTGGATTAGGCATCTATTTGATGAGGTTAGTTTTTGGGATTTGGTCAAACCTTTTGTAACTAGGGATCAAGGACAATTTTGCAGCATTGTCGCCTATGTTAAGGAACTGTTCTGTTCCATTTTCCGCATTTTGTTTTAATTCAGTTTCTTTTTTCTTCTGTCAAAATATTGATGCATGCATCCACTGTGAGACTACTTCAAAACTTAGCAGCAAGTGAATCTTTTGCTCCCTCTCTCTCTCTCTCTCTCTCTCTCTCCCCTATGTTTTTTTTTTTGCATCCACAGGGACCAATGAACGGCTCAGTCCATAAGACCTTTTGCAGGTCCCTAAAGGGGCAAATTATTGAGGAAAACATGCGCGTATTGTCAAATTGAAAATTAGGAACTTTTTGAGGTATCTAAATGAAGTAAAATGAAAAAAATTGACAAATTAAAGGGTTGAAAACACCAATTTTTTCTGGAATAGGTTCTTATCAGAATTTTGGTGAATTTGTGTACTTTAAAATATATGGCTGACATTTGTTTATTTTTCATTAACTTCCTTTCTTTTTGTGGATAAAGACCCCTAACCCTAACACTTTGAGCTCTAAAGGAAAAGTTTATATAAGGTCTCAGCCTCGTACTATTCAAGTATGGTGCGCCTCAAAAACCCATTGAAAATTGTTGTTCTAATGATTAAAAATCTATAAATTGATCATCTGGACTCTAGATATATAAATATGAAAAAAAAAAAAAAAAGAATCTTAAGCAGCAAAAATAATGCATCTTTTTCAAAAAATTTCACATTACATTTTTAGAACGATAAATTTCATAGTTTGAGATGCCTTATGGAAACTCGCCAGTAATTCTTATATGAAGTTCTTACAAAGGAAAAATATCAGAAGTTTGAGTATGGTATAAGGCAAAACATGACCTATAGTGATTATCAATTTATTTAGGTTTTCATCATCACTTGGCCCACATATTTGCATAGTTCTAGTATTGTGTAACTCTATTTGGGTGGGCATTATATGCTTATGCGAGTGCCATGGAGGTCTTTGTTTCAATTTCATTACATTGTGAATTTCGTGTACCAATGAAAATTTTGGAAAAATAACAAAAATATGGTCAGATTCTCAGTACCAATGCATCTGTGAATGTAATCTCATGTTTTCCTATAAAAGTTTAGGAAATATAGCAAAAAAGAAAATGCTCTGATTCTCCTGAGAGCATGCAAATAAAACAGTTGGTGTTGATAGAATAAGTGAATATACTTTTTTCTGTTTTTTCCATTGATTGTCATGAATGTTAGAACATAATTTGCAGAATGACAGAATCATATGGTGCATGCTTCGGTGCACATGGCCCAATCTTTCTCTTAAAAACTAGCAAGGATTTGCTCACTTCACTTACTTGATTCGGATGTAAGCTTCTACTGTAATTAAGACCAGATTGGCCATGCTAGTTTGAACAGTTGAACCAGGAATCATGTACGATTTCATCAATGAACTGGCAATTAGTAAAACCTGATCCGAATTGGTCAAGCTTGGTGTGAATCTCTCCTAGTTCACGATTAGTTACAAACGCTTTTTGACAAGCATTTGCTGCGCTGCACTTGGTTAGGTAAACCAAAAACCTCTTGATTGATACAAACACATTCCCACAAGTTCCCAAAAAATATACAATGACACAATTACTTGTAACAATTTTATGTGAAATTTGATGGTTTGGGTGTGCCACAAAGTTCAAAAAAAAAATTTCCACAATTACTTACAACCATCTGATATGAAATTTGATAGTTTGGATGTGTCAAGTTCAAAAAAAATTCTCCTTTGGTACAAAGAGGTCACAACTACTTACAATCATCTGATGTGAAATTTGATAACTTGGATGTGTCTAGTTCGAGAAAAATTGTCCTTTTGTACAAAGAGATCACAATTACTTACAACCATCTGATGTGAAATTTAATAGCTTGGATGTGCCATAAAATTCGAAAAAATTTCTTTTGAACTTAATACAACTGCCCAATTTTATATCCAATGGTCAAGATTAATTATGACCACATTGTACAAAAAGTAAATGGTCTTATTATATACTTTCTCAACAACTAATCCCAAAATCATAAGTATTGAAAAAACTCATATAAGCAAAAAAATCTTATATATCCTTTATCATGAGACATAATTATCACTATAAATAAAAAGCATCATGAACCTCCTAGTTGAACCAATTGGATTGGGCTTAGAATGAGTTTGGTCTGAGCAATGAACTAGCAATTGATCAAAATTGTTTTATGCGAGTTAAAACTAGTCACGATTGGTTACTTAAACCATTTTAACCAGTTGGACTGCCACTTAAACACCCAAGCATGGTTTTGACCGAAGCTTTCAAGTGTTTCTCTTGTGTGCTTTTTTAGTTCTATGTTTTCACTTTTCACCCTACCCATCTACCATGTTTGAAAAATGATCCCTGTGATTTAGCACAAAAGAAATTTGACAGCCACTGAACATCTTTCACGTAAAGGATTGTATACTATGAGACGGTTTGGACATCTATGTATGAAATGTCATTCACTCAAGTGGCCAGGTTTGGAGTAAAACACTTATGAGCCAGACATTTGTCAATTTTTTTGAGTTAAAAACAAGTTCGTAAACTAACCCAGTTACAAAACAATCATATCAAACATCCAACATATGACTCACTTCAAAAATAAAAAATAAAAAATTGGACATTGCATAACCTAAGAATAATAAAACACACTAAAAAATGAGATACCTACAATAGAAAACACACGATACTTTTTTAAAATATCAGAACTACTAACGGAAATTTTACTTAAATCTACATTTCTCCATCATGAACGTATTGTGTAATATTAAAAAATCTTAGTTCACTTTAGTTCAATACTTTTGAGCCAAATAACCGTCATATTATCAGACTAGTACTCAAAACTCGGCCCATAAAGCGTGGTCACCAATGTTGCAAAATCCAAACCTTAGTTTCCTTCATTTTAAAAAGGAGGTTTATAACTTATTCTTCCTTCTTCAAAAAATTTTAAATTAATTCTTTAAATTTTGATACACATTTTTTAAAAAATAATCTAACCTGTCCATCCACCAGCTCGACCAGTTTCGTCGGGACCAGTCCTTTTACCAGTTCAATGGCCAGTCCAGCCCTTACACATCGCTGATAACATTGTGATCTACAGCAAATTCCACAGGTTCAAATCTCAACCTTTCTACAAAAGAAAACATTCATTGGAAGTAAAAGAACTGATCATCATGCGAATGCTCTGGATTTGAAGACGCCCTGACATGAGGGCATCAGAGAAAGCACAACTTTGAAGCTTTTAGCAAGAGAAGTGATTAACTTTCTCAAAAAGAGAAGTGATCCATTTACCAATTCACTGCGACAGCAAAACAAGACCAAAAATTGACATGAAGAAAGGGATATCCTTTTCTAAGAAACAACCCCTTTCAACACCATGTACGTATATATATACTCAAAAACAAAAGAATTGAATGAGTCTTTCCGAGACCTGAACTTTAATTACAAAAATGGAACACGAAAGAATTACTTACAAATGCAAAGCAGAGGACCTGAAATATGGCCTCTAAAAGTGGCCACATTTTTTACACCCAAGGAAAATAGGGCTCAAATCTTCAAACCTGTAACGTAAGGCATTCCAATCACATCTCATACCCAATTCACATATAATAATCATGATGCCAAATGCACCAAAATTGTATTTTGAAGCAGGGTGCCTCTATTTTGTGACCACCTCTCCAAATCTATCCTTCTCTGAATGCAACAGACTAACAACATCATTGAGCTCGGGAAACGTCGCTAATAGGAGAAGCTCGAGAAGGTTGTACGCCAGTTGCTTAATGCAAAGTGCAGACTGCAAAAATCCAAGACACATCATTTTAGAAGCAAACAGGTGGGGTTGAAATGTATCTGGGGACACACGTACTACAGTGAGTCTACCCTCCAGAATCCATCTCGGAAACAGATTTTGGATCCAAAATTTTTCAGGCCTGTCATCTCGGCCACCACGTTCATAAATATTTAAATACATGAATTTTGAGTCTTTAAATTGGTCTATCTTGTACTTTTTTCTTGGGCCATTCAATTGAAATATTTAAGGATCATCAGAACTTCACTGCTTTTGGAGCTCTACTTCTATTTTTAGTTCCTTTAGTTCTAAAGATTTAATCATTACTTCTCGTTTATATGTTTTACATACATTCATACCTTCATTTTATGTACCAGAACTTCGCTGATTCCACTCAGACTCGACCGAGTTACTTGGCCTTGGCCTAGGGGAGAGGCGGGTTTTCCCTGCTGTACACTATGCTTGTGAAGATTTTATTTATTAATAAGTTGATTTTAAGTCAAATACGTTTAAAACTTTAAATGGAATTTTGGGTAGTGTGGACACACCTTTCCAAACATGCCCAGGGTTTGAGACCCATCATCGCGTCCTCGAAGTCTTTTCCCAATTAATTGGGATCAGCTACACAAATCTTAATCCACCATTCTACTCTAGGGGGTTCGAGACCCATCAATGCCCTTATTTTTTAACTCGCAAGGCACACTCTTATTTTTTAAACAGTTAAAAAAAAAACGAGCGATTGCATGAATCAAACCTAAGACCTCTTATATAGGGCATCCCAGTGTCGGGCTTCATAACCAACATGATTTTTAACATTTCATGTTAAAAAGTGGGAGTCTACATTCTATATAATTGTTGCCTTCACTGTTTTTTTTTTTAACTTGGGCTGAACTGGGCCGAGTTCATCATTCTCGACCGAGCAACTCGCCTCAGCCAAGGTGCAAAGGCTTGGCCTAGTCGATTTTCTGTACACTGCTTTTATTTCCTTTCACGAATCAACATTTGTAATAGATATACAATGTTGTACAGAGCCATATGAATAAGTACTTTTTATACCTCAATTCTTACTGCATTATATTCAATATACGTGCACACCCACAAAAAACGCACAAGGGGAAAATTTTCAGTAGTTGGAATAAGTTTCAAGATAATAAGGAACATAGGTGCATGAAATGAGAGAAACTAGATACGTCAATCTGCAGAAGAACTATGCCAAACCAACCTGAAGAAAGGAATATAAATCCTGGGCACAACTTTCATACTCTTTACGTCCAAAGAGACTCACGAGAGCAGCTGGTGCATGATCTGCCAATATGGAAAAAATAAACCCATAAAAGGCAAAGGAGCCAAGTTTAATCGAAGTAAAGCTTGATATTGCATGCATAGAGAAACCGAGAATTGATGACACATTACCTATATAAGTGAAAGAATATGGATTTGCTAGTTTAAAAATAAGAATTTGTACTTTTCTCTCTGATATTAAGTGAAGCTTTACTAACTGAAGCTGAAGTACATCAGCAAAATATAGAAGAAACAAACATAAATTAAAAAAATAAATAAAGAAAAGGGCTAAGACATCATGAGAGGGCCTCCCGCCAGCCCCCCAACCAAAAGAAAAGGAAAAGCAGGTAATCAGCACATCTGTTTGCTCCTCAAAGAACATGGCAAAGCAAAGGAACTACCGGAACAAATATCCTGCTTCTATTGCGAATAAAAGCAAAACACTAAACTTGCAATATACCCAATCCACCCACCAATGGAACTTCCATTGAACAGAAAAACAGGAAAACATGTCATTCTCTGTCTGCTACATAATATTGTACAAAAGTTGTTTGTCAGAAGGCAAAAAGGTCAAGAACTCAAAATCCATTACAATTTGCACAGTGGTTAAACAAGTGAACTCCTGGAACCACATATTTTAGTGGCTGGCGTTGAACAAACATACTCATAGACGAATGAAAAACTAAAATGCTGTATGAGGTTTCAAGCAGGTATCAAATTAGTTTAGGAACATTGTCTCACCGATCATTAGCTCTCGCACAAACTTCGCACGACGTGCAGCCTCGAGCTGTTGGTGTTCTTCCAATTTAGAGTAATCATCTTTTACATCAATTTTTTCAGTCTCTTTCTTAGGTGACACTATACCTCCCACATGTGTAGGTGTAGACAGACTTTTTGGTGGCAGTGACCTTTGCCGCTTTGGATGCTTACTTAGGAAAATCCCATCGGGCCATAGGATCTACAGCAAATGATGCATAAAGCAAATATAGATATTTGCCATCAGAGTACAGCTGAAACTTGAAAGCAGTAAAAGCATGTTCACAAGTATTTTTAAACTATCTCGTCCAAAGTAAACATAGCTGATCGAGATGAAATACTGTCTTAAATATGAAGGAACTCATCAAATGCAAGATGTTCAACCCATTGTTTCAAACATCCCTTTAAAATGCTAAAAGAAACTGAAATATAGACATTATTTTTTAATTTCTTTTTGGCAAGTAACTGGAACCAGATGAAGCACAAGGCATTAGTCTGAATTTTCAGATCAGACTAAAAATAAACAGAAATTTAGGATCCTCCTAGATCAAGGGAAAAGAGTAGCAAAATGGTTCCTGAGGATCTCAGTGTGCAAATCCATGAAGAGCTTCATAATATGTAAATCATCATATGGTAGCAGCTAATCCTAATAATCATTGTCTATCACACAAAATTATAGCACAACCAAAGTCTTCTATATTGCTAAACATTTTCAAGCCTGTCTGATTGAACCACACAATGCAAATACTTTGACGTGAAAGCTTCCAGTCTCCCAGGTCCAGGTCACAAAATCAAATTACCTCTTGTATTTGTTTGCTGCTAATCAACTATGACCCTTGGGACTTCAAAAAATAGGAAATGAGCCATAGGCTGCTGGCCAGGGCTTATGTATCAATCGGTGTATAATGTGGGAGGTATTTATCTCTGAGGAAAAACAACAAATGTACTTTGTTCTCTTCACTTAGTAAGTAATAATTGAAGAAATTGCATATTAATAACTCTCACAAAATTACAAGGATATTCCAATATACAATGAGGCCTTATGCATGAATCTGCATGTGTCATGTGCATGAGCAAGTACCTGTAAGAGGATGTGTATGCATATGTATGCATGAATCTCTATGTGAATTGCTTTAATTGCATAGCCCTACACATTCTTCTCTCATAGATAGTAAAGACCAGTATTAAAGAATACAACCTAGATTAATAGCTGTTCAGATTTAATAACCCAGAGGTATAGTTCCCATTGCTACATAAGCCAATTCATCAGCACTTCTATATTGCATGTGTGCGAGAACTAAATCAGACTGGTTAGATGAGTTACCTCCTCAATTCGTTTGATTCCTAAAGCAATAACTGATCCCTTTCTCAGAAGCTGGATTTTGTCAATCAGCCAGTCATCAAAAGCATCTCCCATTCCTAGCTGCAAAACCTGTTTGGCTACCCAAAATGCCTGACGTCTGTAAGAGACACAATAATAAACATCAGGAATGAGTGGCAATACCTTTAAAAAACTTTCAAGATTTTAAAAAAATCATTACATTTTCCATAGAAACTCCAGGCCCTATACAAGAAGTAAATAGCTGATAGCCGCATTGTATATTGGGAGGATAATACCAGACTGGAGCTTTTAACAAGCCAGAATATTTGATCGATCATAGAGTTTTTAAGTATATAATAACACTACAAGCCTGAACATCTAAACAGTTCAAAATTATCTGATGACAGATCAGTTTTTTCCTATTTACAGGAAATGAATAGAAAGGTGCAACTAGTTCAAAATATGTTCTGAAGTCCAGAATGGGGCTTATAAAAAGAATAGCATCGGGTCCAGATTTTTTATTAGGTTCATGCAAACATTAGTCCTTTATATTTGTGGAGGACAACTGAACCACAAAAGTCTGGCTGATGAAGATCGAGGAATTCAAATGATCATTTCACAATCAAACAAGTTTCAGAATTTCAACATACACAAACAAGTGGATCAGCAGAACACTTTCGTAACCTCAGAACTTTGTAATGTTGAACTCAGAAAACCAAAAAGGCAGACAGAGCATGAGACTTCAACAAAATAAATTTAAAATTCGAGTGTCACAAAACAAATGTGGAAAAGAAAATTACATGTTATTTGAAAGTAACGTACATGCACCATTAACTAGTTAAGTATTACCATATGGAATACTCAAAAGTGAAGGTGGGAGTTCATATCAACAATACAAAATGACGGGACCAGCAGCAAGCAAGGTTTAACATTGAATTTGAAAGAATCATCACCTTATCCAGCCACCATCTTGAAGTTGAAAAATTACTTCCACCAAATCCAGTATAGGAACACTCAAGTTTGGAGGAACCCACTGCAGTTCAATAGAATCCATGAGACAAGCATGGTATGGAGCCATTGGACAAGTTGAAAGCACCAATTAAAGTTCAAATGCCCAATTAATATAGGAATGTGAATGAAAGACAAGGAATTAGCTCATGTACAAGAATATTGAGTTTTAGTGATTTAGAACACAAGTCCAAAACAATATAAATGTTTGGCATAAGTTGAACAGCATCAATAGTATTCGAATTTAACAAAGAGACTAGAAATCCTGGTTCAGTATAAGCACAACCAAGTACACTTACATCTGGTACCTTAAAGATCAAAGTTAAAACTGGACAAAAACCAAATGCAAAAAGGTCATTAGAGTATTAACGGAACAATTATGTTTCGAGTAACGCACATATATGCAGTCCAGTCAGCATAAAAAACATAACCAAAGGTTATCCAATCAAAATACAAAATTACAAAGCAGCTCTAATGCAATCCAACTACATCCTCTAACTTCCAAATTTCAACTGGCATTGGCAAATCCATGATAGATTTGCTAATAAGGAACCCATGCCTATCTATCAGGCAGAAATTCGGCTAGAAAGCAACATAAAGCTCCGATGAACATGCAATCAAAAGGGCACTAGTATTATGAAGTGCAGCAACAGACAATTCAATAACCAATTAAAATATAAGCGTTGGAAGCCAAAAATTAAATGAAAGCTTAAAATCACGGTCCTCGGCTCACTCTTCCAAAATGTAACTGAAAGCTCCATACACATAAGAGTCTCATCATCATGGAATGACAGATATCCACACATTTAAGTAAGGACAAGGTTTCTATGAGACCATGTAGAAATGAGTCACCTCTTAAAAATCTATTTTTGAGATGGATTTTTGGACCTAATTTTTAAGGACAAGTAATCTCTAACATAGCGATCATGAATATGAAAAAAAAAATTTAAAAATTCAAAATTAAAAATAATAATTCTATTTAGCAAACATTTGGACCGTTAGTTTCAATTATTTTTAGATGAACTACCTATTTGCATCCTTCTTTAAGATGGATGCTTTATTCCTTGGGGACCACAAATGTAGAAATGTGGTCCCCACTGCATGAAACAATTTTCCTTTAAGTAAATGAGATCAGTGTATCTGCTAATTAATATTTGGTGAACTGCATTGCGGCATGATGGAAGACAAAACCCTTAACCACATGAATTTCAAGGTAAGGGTCCATCCCAGTGACTATATTGCGGTTAAGATACCACAAAGTGATTGAAATGATATAAAGGGTAGGATGCTCTTGTATACAATACTTGACTTGTGAATGTAGTTTAAAATTTTACAACCAATACATGCACATGCAAGTGTAAATACACTTTCACAACTGTTACACCCACAAAATACAATAACTTTTAACTCTACTATCACTTGAAAAACTCAAAATTACAACTCAATGGAGTCCCCAACACAAAATCTAAAACACTTGGTAAATAAAAACTCAAAACTACAAGCACTCTTACATAGACTGCACATATAACTTTATCATCATCAAATACACATCCTTAACAACACAATTCAAAACTCAATGACTCACAATTATTATGAACTCAAAACCACAGTAAATAGATTACCAAAAATACAAAGGGAAGCCAACAATTGAACCCTTAATGCCCGAATCACAAATTGGATCTTTTAGGGACTTAGTCTTATCCCATAGCTGAAAGCACAGATGGTTCAAACTCAAGGGCTTACTCACTGACACCAATAGGAAGCTTGAAACCACTAATTCATCACTTTATATTGTTCAAAATGAGAGAGAGAGAGAGAGAGAGAGAGAGAGAGAGAGAGAAGAGAGAGAGAGATGTAATTTAGACGGACCGTAAAAGGTTAGAGTAGAACGTACGTTAAGAAATACATCTACAATAAAGAAACTAATAAAGTAGTAACGAACTAACTCTACGTAGTAGTA